AACAAGCAGCAAATGTAAATCTGGTCTCTGGTTTTCAGTGTTTTGTCAGTTCGTAGTTAAAAAAAAAAAATGAGCTCAAAGTTAAGTTCACACAGATGAAAATGAACAAGCCTACGTTCATTGTCCACTTTTTCAAAAAATGAATAAAGTCACAAAAATATAAATGAACTAGTTTAAGTTCATTTAGTAAATGAAGCCACAATCCTCCACAGGAGAACCTCTAACAGTAGCAGCCATTCAAAATGGCCCATTCCCAGAAAAAAGCCAGACACACTACGAAAAAATCTAAATCTAGATGTCATTTTTTCTTTAGATAAGTGCATTTGTTCTTGGATTGAGGAGGAAAAAGAGACATTTTGCCAATAGAACAAGACAATTTACGCTTAAAATAAGAAAGCACAATTTCATTGTCTCATTTCACTGGAAAAACGATCTAGAAATAAGTAAAATTGTCTTAAATTCAGTGTATTTACCCTTAATTTGAGGAGGTAAGTGAGATAGTTTGCCAATGGGATGAGTATTTTTCCTCTTAAAATAAGATAATTAGATAATATGCGCTTGAAATAAGACAATGCAATTGTGTTTCCTTATTTTAGGTGTAAATTGTCTTGTTCCATTGGCAAAATGTCTCTTTTACCTCCTCAATCCAAGAACAAATGCACTTATTTTAAGAATAAATGACTTATCTAGATTTCTATTTTTTTCCAGTGTTCAACAGCATATTGTCTTTTCTTAACTCATTCCATTGGCATTCTATTTCATTTACCTTCTTAAATTAAGGGAAAATACACTTAATTTAAGACATTTTTACTTTTTTCTAGGTTGTTTTTCCAGTGCAAATGGCAAAGCAGTTCCCTCCAACTTCCAGCCACTGGAGTGATTCCCTCTGACTCCACTCTTTCACTGAATTACAGAGAGATATTGCTTCTCTTTTTTAGTACAAGGATTGTTGTTTAAAAATGAATTGTAGGGGACTAGTCACACTGCAAAAAATGATCTAGAAATAAGCAAAAATTTCCTAAATCCAGTGTATTTACCCTTAATTTTAGTACGTAAATAAGATGAGTTGTTAATGGAATTTGTATTTTTACTCTTAAAATAAGATAATTAGATAATATGTGCTTGTAAGAAGACAATACAGTTGCTTTTTCTTATTTTAAATATAAAATGTCTTGTTCCATTGTCCAAGTGTCTCAATTCAAGAAAAAATGCATTCATTTATTTGAAGAAAATATGACTTTGTTAGATATAAACTTTTTGCAGTGCAAGGAAAGTGGCGAAATTTTAAATGGCTACACTACACAAACGATCTAGAAATAAGTTTAAAAAAATTAAATTAAGTGTATTTACCCCTAATTTGAATAGGTAAATACGATTATTTGCCAATGGAATGAGATATTTTACTCTTAAAATAAGATAATTAGATAATATGCACTTGAAATAAGGCAATATAATTGTTTTCTCTTATTTTAAATGTAAAGTGTCTTCTTCCATTTGCAACGTGTTCCACTTAAGTCCTCAGTTCAAGAAAAAATGCACTTATTTTAAGGAGAAAATACTTACTTAGACCTAATTTTTTGCAGTGCAAACACTGCAAAAAATCTAAATCTAGATAAGTCATTTTTTCTTAAAATAAGTGCACTTGTTCTTGAATTAAGGAGGTAAAAGAGACATTTTGCCAATGGAAGAAGACAATTTACACTTAAAATAAGAAAACACAATTATATTGTCTTATTTCAAGTGCATATTATCTAATTATCTTATTTTAAGAGTAAAATTACTCATTCCATTGGCAAACTATCTCATTTACCTACAGTACTCAAATTAAGGGTGAATACACTTAATTAAGGAAATTTTTACTTATTTCTAGATAATTTTTGCAGTGAAGAACGTGGCGAAATTTTAAACGGCTACTACTGTATTTCCCCCTTAAATAAGTGATGAAAATATATAGAAAAGTTAAGGTGCAGTTAAGGTGTACTGGATGTGCAGTGAAGCCTTTATTTTTCAAAATTACACAGAACTTCAGAAACATTCAGGTTCTGTTGATATTTCCCAGGATAGCTCAGATGAACGGTGCAGACTAGTACTAGCAGCAGGCATGTTGGTCTGTCAGGCTTTTTGGTATAAAAACTGATGTTATCCAATGAATTCAATTGAATTGTCAATGTGACGTCATAAGAGAGAAATAAACAAATGGACAGAGAACCACCTGAATTAATGCGGTTTACAGTCCCCATCTGCACTCCCCAGGTTATATCTGAGAGAAAATGGGTGAAGAAAGAGAAAACCATAGTGTGAATAATAAAGAAAGCATTACTGTATATATAAGGAGAATTTTAAATTTTATCCTGCTTTTAGCTACATATCTTACGTATCTTAGAAAATCAATCAAATCAAAAAATGTAAACTAGTTTACATACATTTCCTTAGTAGACGTAGACTTAGATTTTATTTTGTCATTTTGTACAAACAAGTGTAGACAAAAAGAATTTCGTTAAGTACGGCTCTCTAGACCAGTGGTTCCCTAATGGTGTGCTGCGGCACACTGGTGTGCCGTGGAATTTTGTGACAACCATGTATGGTCATTACAATATAATAACAGAAAAATAAAAAGCCTATACGGTCATATCACTACTTTGTTTGCATTC